GGGATGGGAGGGGTGGATGGTGGAGGGGGAGGAGAGAAGGGCAAACCCAGGTGCAGGTTTTGGTGCAGCCTGGAGGGGCCACCACAGACCTGATTTTCTTTGAAATCTTGTATTTTAGCACCAGCATTACAAGAATTTTACACTTGACTCCATAATATTTCCAATTTAAAACATTTTTACAATTCTACCAAGTAGTTAAGTAAAATTAGAATGCCAAGAAAATGTGCTATTTTTTTTGGCTTTGTACACATACTGAAATAATAGTAGCAGCAGATAATTAATTATAATATTAAATACTAATATCACTTACTGTGTGTCAGATACTTTTCTGTTGATAGATATTTGACTCGTAATCCTCACAATGACCCTCTGAGGTTGGAGCTAGTATTATCTCTTTCTCATGGATGAGAGAAACTGAGGCACAGAGATTGAGAAGTTAAGTAACTTATTCAAGGTCACAAAACAATTAAGCTGCAGAATGTTGTCTTTAGGGCTTCAAACTGACAACCAGTTTCCCAAGTCTAACTACTTGACCATTAAATTAGACTGCTCCAAGTAATCACCCAATATAGGAACACTATAGCATGTCAACTTCTGGTTTCTGAGAATGGGTGTGGAAAAAACACACCAAATACAAAGAAGTGTATGGATGTGCTGTGTGCCACTGTGTGAGTCAGAGCTAAAATTTGGAAGCTGGATAATACCCAGTAGAGAAAATGTAAAATTTCCATGTGTTGTTTAATATTCTGGGTAGATAACTTTTTCATTTAGAACCATGACTAATCATTAGAGGCACTATTTAATTCAACAGTTACTTTTGAATTTCCTGATTTTTTACATTTTCAATTCTGGAGCCAAATTTGGTCCAAACTTTTTTTTTTAAAGAGTTTAAAGTAAAAGAGGGTTTATTAGTGAAGGAGTAGGACAGAGAGACGGCTACTTCACAGGTGGGGCAGCATGGCCCAAATTTTAAGTACTAATATTTGAGATATTACTTAAAAAGCGTTATTTGCTCAAAATAAATGGGTAAGCATGAATTATTCCCGTGGTCACTATGTGTGCTCACGAGATTAAGAAAATGTGCCCAGTTTCATTGATGATCACTTCTTTCCTAATTTCAACTTCCTATCTTGAGATAATGTGTTCCAATTCATGAGGGCAATGCTATTTATAACGACTGCCTGGCATTCCACTATACTTGTGTACCACGAGTCATTTAACCATTCCCCTAGTCAGCAAGTTCAGTTTGCATTCCCTCCCCCCTATTGTAGGGGGAACACTATAATAAACATTCTTATTTCTATTTGTGCATACCTGTTTTCTTCACGTATGATTTTCTTAGGTTAAAGTCTTATAAGTAAAGTTGCTAGGTAAAAGAATAGGCAGTATTCTAAAGCGTTTACTGTTTGCCAAGGTGCCCTCCAGAGATATTCCCATTTACACTTTACTAACATGTTTTATAGCTTGTATTTCTCATCTGTGTACAGCTCGTTTTTCCCATTATCTCATATGCATGCTTGTCTTTTTCATGGTTATTGTAAGAACTTGTTATATATTAAGTATAATAGTACTTTGTCTGATGATGCAAATTCCTTTCTGTCTTTCAATTTGTTTGTAAAATTTTTTAAAGCTCTTTTATCAGATATTTTGAGCAACCCTTTCCTTCACAGTTTCAGCCTGAGGCTGTGAGGTCTTTTGAAATACATTCATTGTTAAATATAATCCCAAGTACTCCTTACAATGCTGACTCTCTCATTTGCTGTTTGAATTAGTTTCTGAAATTGATTTATAGTTCGCCTACTGTAGGAAATTTAGTTTATGCCACTTTTCAATTTTGAAGGAAGTATAATAAACTTTCTTGTAGTTATATCTTTATACACGTCTACTTCTGTAGGTTATTATTTCTTTAGGCTAAATTCTTAGAAACAGAATTGCTAACACCTTGTGAATCTTTACGTTGTATTAGTCCCTATGATAATTACTTTACAGGTATTTCTTCAGGAGCTGCATATCTTATACCTTAGTCCACTGGTGTTTCTATTGCAAAAATTGCTGCACTTTTGTGGAGTATAGTTAATATGGTTGTTTTGGGTCATCTATTATTCTATGTGCAAGCTAATAAACTGGGCATTGGTACATGGTGAAAGAATCACAAACCACTGTGACATAACTGGGTTAGTAACTATGTTATATCAATTTGACCTTCCACAGGAAGGATGATTTCTCTTTGTACAGACTCTGATTTCCTGTTTTTCTTTTCCTTCCTGCCAAATCTTGCAGGCAATACAGTATGGTGCTGAAGACAACAGTACTGTAATAGTAGTGCCTTTTGGTGCTTGGGGAAAATACAAGAACTCCGAAATCAACTTCTCCTTCAGCAGAAGCTTTGCCTCCAGTGGACGATGGGCCTGATTGCTTGCTGGGACTTTGAATTTCTGTGCAACAGTTTTTCACTAAGTACATAAAGAAACTGATAATAGATTTGAAAAATCAGCTGTACCAGAGTAACCCTGTGATTCGCTAGATCAGTACACAAGCCTGTATAAACCCAGTAACCATTGACATAGTAGTTTTTCAAAAATACCGGTCATGTTTATGTTCAACTGTATGTACGCAATAGAAATATATGTATCATTCAGCTAATGTGAGTCTCTAAGTTGAGTGAGCATATGAAAAGTGGTTTTGATATACTTGCTGAATGTTAAATTTCTAATTTTAAAAACTCTTAGGCAGCTATGAGTTTCTTTTGATCACTTTTCTTTATCCACTTAAACAGGTTCTTCAAGTTCTTTAATAGTAGTAGTATTTCGACAGCTCCTCAATGTGTTATCAGCAACTGTTTTAATTTTTAATAACTGTACCAAGAAGTTAATGTGAAAACTGAGTTCTCTGTTATTATATTCACCAGGTTTCCCCTCTCCCCCAATTCATTCCTATTCTGTAGCTAAGAATACTATAGCGACATGACTGTTCCTTCATATCAGAAAAGAATGCACAGGCTAAGAGTCCTATGGTCAAAGCTTACAAAGTCAAATACCAATGGTATCAAGTATCTTGTATAAAGTTTCATTTGTTGTCTATAACTCTTTCGTATATAGTATGTTTATATCACGTTTCATATAGAGTAGGCAAGTTGGATAATTTGTCAGTAATAATACCAGATTGACCGATACTGCTACAGATATAGCTTGAGGTTTATGTCTCCTTTTTTGCGTATTTCTAAGATTCCTAAGAAAGGATAAATCTAAAACATTAAAATATTCTATATTTCAGTGTGCTATGTAATTTAGGAGTATAAAACTATACTTCCTTATATTTGCATGTAAGTTTGCTCTTAAAATGTGAATCTCTAAATGTGTGTTTGGAATTATATCTGCAGCTTATTTCTGCAGACAGTGTAAATTTGTTATTGTGTGAGTGTATGTACATATGTATATTTTGGAGTAACATAAAATTTAAAGGGAACAATCCTGTATAGCTCCTTCAACAGTTAGCTTTAAATTATTGATATGTTTATACTTAGGGTCTCTTGACAGACTGAGGGCAGTTTTATAGTGGAGAACCAATGGTTATTGGCAGGTGAGGAAACATTAAAAATGGCTATAACGAGATATTTTATGGTGGGTGACTTATGTGGAAAACCCAGGAACAGAACCAGCATGTTGAAGCTATATTGTTATATGGTAATTTGCCTATAAAATAGGATGTGAGAAAAATACTGTGTTAAGAGTGACATGGAGTTTTGTTGTAGAAACAAAAGAAAAACCAAAAAGATAAATTTGGTATAGTATATATCTCAACTCTCAGCTTTCAGGGTTGACCTTTTTTGTTTCTTTAAGTTTTATCTAAAGGCTTATTAAGAAGGAAGAGAGCCCAAGATACATTGTTCACATTTTCTCACCTTTTTTGGGAATGGAAGAAAATAAATCTTGAGTTTTCCAGCTTATATTAATCAGGAGTTGCCCTTTAGGAAAAAAAACCAAAACGGTAAAGAGATGTTTCAATTTTTTCTTTCAAGGAAGTTTGATGAAAGAAAGAAAAATATTACAGGAAAGGATATAGTCTCCTATTTGTTGTCTGAGAAGTGAGGACCCAAAGGTAGAGTAGGAAAGCTGGAAAACTTCCTTGTTCTTTCTGAGTCAGGTCCTGGAACATAAATATGGAAGCTACATTTAGGAGCATGCAGAATTTCCAAACTAATAAGCAAACAGAAACTCTAAAGCACAAAATAATATTTAAAGATGTAAGTTTATTTTTGTTTTGAATTCTTTACATTACTATTTTTCTTTTGCTTTAAAAATGAAGGGTGAGAGTGATGTTAGCAAGTTCAGAGGTCTAAGGGTCACTGATGCATTGAGGTGGACACCTGCCAGGTTTGACAAAGAAATTTGTAAGGTGTGCAGGGTTGATCAGCCTTTGCTCTGCTTTACCTCAGAAGCTCTTAAAACCCAAAACCAGTTAACTTTCACTAAGACATAAAACATACTTGTGTTTGTTTTTCAAGCCAGTGTTGAAGGATAATTTGCAGATTATTATAATCCATAGAAGAAGCATACATGTATTAGGCTTCTAATTAGGCTACTATTGGGAATTGTGCAAAGGGAAATAAAGACTTCTGTAGTGATTTTTTTTTTAGTTATAACTAAATTTGCCATGTGGCTATTACCATGTGGATTTAGGTATGGTATAAATTACATTAAGGTAATTAAACTTAAATCAATTGTATTTAAGTTTGCCTTTCATTTATATGTAGTATATAAATTGTTCTTCTAAAATGTGTTGTTAAATTTTATTTGCCAATGTTTATTTGGTAAAATTACCTTGAAATTGTGATTTTTCATAAATTAAGTACCTTATGTATTCAAAAGTAAATGCCATCCTGTTCCATCAGCTCTTCTTTTGTTACAGATCTTTGTGTTTAAGTGCCTCAAAGTCTGATGCTTCTCCCCACCCCCCGAAAAAATACAGTTTTGGAGGAATCGGTTTTGAATCTCTGTACTCTATGATATGAACTTTTCTTGAATTCCAACCTTTAAAAATAATTACTTACTTGAAGAATTACTGGCACATAATCTAAATAGAAATTATTTTTTCAAAGTGGAATTTGGTTTTTCTTTTCTTTTTTTTAGAATCTTGGCAGACAGTGAATAGACCTATGCTAACTCTTAAATATTAGACAGGACATTTAGTTTCTAAGAATGAGCAAAGATTTCATTTCATGGTAATATGACAGCAAGGCAATGCTTCAAGGCAGGGTAAGGGGAATGGATGGTTGAAGTTTAGCATCAAACAGTTCAACATGTATTTTCCTTTAGCTCCTTAATTGTTCACATACCCATGTGTGAAAAGTGGCATACATTTTCAGTTGGGTTACATTTTCCTGTATTTATTAGAATCACTTATCTAGATAATTTAAGCAGGAATAAAAAGCTTGTTGCATTTGGCATCTGGAAGGAGAACATTTGACTCTCTTGCAGCTCCCATTGGTTATTAGACGGTTGAAACAGTCCATTAATGGTCACATTGAGTGTTCTGGGCTGTGAAATCATGGAGTCTCTCAACCTCCAAGAATGACTCGTCTACCATTGGCTTCCAGTACATAATACAGCAGCTTAGTATGTCCAAAATTAATTTAATTTCTGCCATATTGCTCTGGTACACATTTGTTTTATAATTTACCAAAGTGCTACTTGGGTGTATAGCACTTCCTATAGTGAGCTGATGTAATTGCTGCTTTGAGCATTGTTTTAAATGTATGCATTGAGTAGCAGAACAGACTAAAATCACATATCTCAGTGCACAAGACACCATTTTAATAAAGCACACACATTAAACACTTTAAAATTCAACTGTGTTTATTTGGCATCCAGACTTACCAACATTTATTATGTGACTCTGTGAACACTGATATAATAAAGTCCATGAATGGCTGGAGATTTAGTAGCCAAATTCTGGCTGTTTGCAAAATTAATGTGAAGAATCTTTGAAAAACTGTATTATCTATTCAAATCTTTTTTATTTAATCTAAAACAAAATTTGTCTCTTTCATTTTCCTCTTCCAAAATATTTGTTGGTACATCATAGGAAAATGGTCATGATGATTTCTACCTTATTTTGCCTGTGGTATGTTTCACTGCAGCATCTCCATATATTAAAAATTAGAAATAGGTGTTTGGCAGTGATATTGCAGAGCATGGCATTATGCATTTAACATAAGCAATTTCTGATGTCCTGCCTGATTGAATAAAATGTAGTGGTTGCAATGCATTGGCACAAGGGTCTCTTCTAGAATGCGTCCCTTGAAGGTAACTCCATGGCAGCAGAGATCTGTCCTGTTTTTTGGGTTTTTTTGTCCTAGTTTGTTCAAACTCCATGCCTAGTACTTTCTGTGTTTAGCAATGAGGAGAAAATGCTTGTCGAACCATTAATCATTAATACTTGTTGAATGACTAAGTTAATGCATTGAATTATACTTTCATTAAATTTTTTAGTGGGGAAATGAGTATTAGATCTTAAATATCAAGCTAAATGTAGTGTTTCATGGTGAAGGAATGATCTCACCTCTTTTTGTGCTTCCTTGACAATCAGGCCTTTGTAAAATGTAAGTTAATATAAATATGGTTCACAATCTCTGAACAAAAGCTGCATGACTGACTCTAACCTTGCTTCTTTAGGAAATGTGGAAGGGAAAATGAAGATGAACAGTCTGGGGCCATGCTCTTTTGCATATAATATCTTACTCTTCACAATAGCCACACAGGGAAGCTTTTATGCTGCAGCTTCTTTCTTCTCTGGTGGGTTTCTTTGCTGCAGGCTTATTCTCGGCTGCTGGTTTCTTGGTAGCTGCAGCCTTTTTCCCACCAAAGGCTCCTTTCTGCTATGCGAAGCCAACAGCCTTGTTTCCTTTTGTCCCTACCACAGGCTTCTGGCCTGGAAACCCCTGTTCATCTGATTTGGCTTCTAGCACTGCTGCAGCTTTATTTGCCCGGAGCTTGTGGTTGTTTGCCTGGAGGAGAATGGTGTTCTGGTGCATGGTCTTTGCATAGGGGTTTAGCTTCAACATGATGCTCAGGTTTTTCAGTGGATTCTTCTTCAAGACTTGCGGTGAATCTAATTGTGTGGTTTTTGGAGGGCACTTTGGATCTCTGGCCTTTTCAAGATTCTGCTCAGGCCTGTATTGAGCATCTTGTGCATGGGAAGGTTGTAGTTACACTTGAGGGAGCAGCTTTATACCAAGTGCCATACAGATCATCTAACTTGCTGAAAGCACTTTCAATCTAAATGCAGAAATGGCCCACATACCCACCAGGAGCAAGTTTCAAAATGTTCAGTTTGTTTACATTATGCAGAGTAATTCCAGCGATGTTTCTGAAGTCTTTGATGATACCATTATCCTTATTATAGAGGATGCAAGGTCCCCTGTGCTGGATACAACAACAGTTTCTCATTTTGCACTTGCCAGCTCTCATTTGCTGAGGGGCAGAAAACTTTTTGATATCACTCTAAGCCTTAAGTTTATTTTTTTAAGTTTTTATTTATTGATTTTAGAGAGAGAGACGTGGATTTGTTGTTTTATTTATTTATGCATTCATTGGTTGATACTTGCATGTGTCCTGACCAGGGATCAAACCCACAACCTTGCCACATCTGGGATGATGCTTTAGCCAACTGAGCTACCAGGCCAGGGCCAGGCCTTAAGTTTCTTAAGAAGCAAAATTGTGCCCTTGGTTTTTCTTGTAGCCTTCAACCTTAACTTCAACTAAAGGAACTTCAGAACTTACTCAATACGATGAGCTTTAGTCATGACCAGTGCTGGTAGGGCCAAGGCAGTCAGGGCAGAGCAGATGGCGTATTGCTTCTGTGTTGTGTTCACTCTGTGGTGCCAACAGCACCAGGTTTTGGTTGGTGCAACCATGTGGCCCCCACAACACATACTTACAAAAGCACCCTGACCAGAACAATGAGTCCCACCACCTTGAACTCTGGGAACTTGAGCCACAGCTCTGTCAGCACCCAAGACTCAGCACTGGTTGATGACCTGCCAATTCACTGACAGCATAGGGCTGTCTGTTGTTTTTGCTCAAGTTGGTGTGAACAAAGTTCACAATACCTGGTGGAATGGGAAGCTTGAACACAGCAGGAAAAGTAACATTTTTGCCAGATGATTTCCCCCTTTTGGAGTACACATATCAGTGGACAAGCACACACCATGGCATGGAGAGAAGGCCACTTCCTCTCAACCCGGTGGCTCCCAAAGGAAAAGCCAGGGAACCCTTTTTATCATTTTTATCTATAAGGAAATGGAGCCAGGACAGCTAATAACAGCAAGATCCAATCCAGAACCCTTTGACTTCAGTCTGTGTTCCTTCTATTCTACCATACCTCCTTTATATATTAGCAAAAGCAAAACCAATTCACTACTGTCAAGCATCTATTAACATCCATCTGCAGAAGGATCTCTGGAGGACATGACAAGTTACGCAGACATGATTCAGAAACTCCAAATTAGTGGATGGATGAACATACTAGGGAGAGTAACTGAGCATATATCGCCTAAATAAACTAGGATAAAGAACTAAATTATGTCCAAGCCAAATGAGTACAACGGGAGCAAGAGTGAATAAATGGATGCAGAATGACTTCCTTAAACAGGGCAAGGCTTAGATGATCACTTATGGAAGCCCAGTAAGTTAGTCCATCAATGATAAGCATTTATTGAGAACCTACTGCAGATGCCTGCGATGGTGCCAGGGCGGGTCTTGCAGGGCTTGGGGAAGGTAGTGGTTGATTATCTCCCTGGAAGAGCTTTGTCCAGGGACAGGAAAGTGAGTTACACCAGAAGATAACAGTGTACCCCTGGAAGCAACGATGTTTAGAGGCAACTGACATAACTAGTGAAGTCACAGCCTTAGGTCACATGTCAAGGGTAGGTTCTTTCAAGGACCAGGAGACTTAGTCACATCTTAGGAGGCAGGTGGCCAACGGCAGGACTCAATACATATTTTTATGCGAAATAAAATTGCCAGTCCCTTATTCAAAAATTATGGGGACCTATCAGGTGGCAGGGCTGAGATGATTTGTGCCATGAAAACTGGCAGTGACATAATTTCGGCAAGGGCCCCAGGCAGCTTAGGAAGTGCAGTACAGCTCCAGAAGCTTACTACATAACTGGAACTTGGGGGGAATCTCCCCACTGTGTATATTCAGATGTGAGTTTCAACTTCAGAAAGATGCCTCCCTCACAAAGGCTCTCTTCCAGTTTCATACTGAACAAGAAAATAGCACGTTCCTTGCACGTCTATGGTTTTGCTCCATGTGAACTTCCTGGTGCCAGATGAGGTGAGGCCTTAGGCCAAAGGCTTTCCCACATTCACTGCATTCCTAAGGTCTTAGTCCAGTGTGAAATCTCTGATTTAATGAGGCCTGAGCTTTGGCTGAAGGACTTGCCACATTCACTGCAGCCATAGGCTTTCTCTAATATGAACACTGTACAATAAGGCTGGAGCTTTGGCCAAAGAATTGCCCATGTTTGCTGCACTGACAGGGTTTCCCCCAGTGTGAATTCTCTGATGCTGAATTACCTGGAGATGCGGGTGAAGAGTTTTTCACGTTCTTTCATTTACAAGGCCTCCTTTCGGGGACACTCCTGAGCCAGATGCACTCTGGTGCCTTGGCCCTGGGGGTGGGCTGGGGGTGGTGACTGCTGCCCAGGATTCCTGGTTTCTTCCTCCCTGGGCCAGGCGCACCCCCACCGGGAAGAGAGGGCTCTGCCCAGGGTCCCCCGAAGCAGGAACCGCCTGGAGGTGGCAGAACCCGCGCTCTCCTCCCTCCCAAGGCCCGGCACCTGTGGGGGCCTCGCGTCCCTGGTCCTGGCCCCAGGAGCCTGTCGCGCCAGAGAACCTTTTTACTTTAATCCCTTGACGCTTTGCCAGACAGCTAGTCACCTTTTCCCTCCCCTTTCAGCTTTGTTTCCTTTTCTTGTTCCTTCCTTTTCCCATTTCCTTTCTGCCTGAGTACGACTTGTTACAGATTATGAAATAAAGCTATATATGTCTCATAAAAGTAAAAGTGTCACTTTTTGCAAATGACATGGTTCTTTATAT